TTAAGCATAATCAATGATGATTATAAATTTCTGATATCTGAAAAGGAGAAAAGTAGTTTCCCTTGTCTACATGGGAAGGGCTTCTTTGGGATTCATCTTTGTTTTTCACAAAATTGGCCTTATCGAATTATTCTGGGAAAGTTGGTGTGTTTCCATGTAGATGTTAAATTTAATCTTAGTAATTGTAGTTTTCTTGAATTTTTAAAGATAAAAAGAAGAAAATTCAAGTTTGTATTTTCATTCTTTGTGTGTCCAGATTGGTTCCTCCCCAGGTTTTGAGGATGGAAACTTTGAATCTTCCAAGTTGGCACGCCCTGCAGCTTCATTTTATGTTGCCGCTGAGGATTGCCTATATTTTGTTGATTCAGAGGTATGCATTGACTTGTAAGTTATAATGTGATTTATGCAGCTATATTGCATACTTATGTAACTAACCAGTTTGCATGTGGGGTCTCTACTAAGAATCATGCCATCAGGAAAGCTGATATGGAGAGCCGGGTTCTGGAAACCGTCTATCCAGTGGGAGACACTACTAAGAAGAGTAATCAATTTTGGACCTGGATCACAACCAAGCTAGGTTTGAAACGCAATGCCCATACAAGGACTGAAGGATTTGATTTACAATCATTGATGTATCCATGGCATCTGATGAAATCTATTGATGACAGTCTTGTTGTTATGAACCGAAGGTAAAACCACCACATCAATTGTCATAGTTTCTTAATCAATAAATCCTGGGTCACTTGCCTTTTATTTTTTTAACTTTTAATATAGGCATTGGTGCGATTAATTAATTTGAATGGCAGCTTTGATACTCTATGGATCCTAAATTTGGCTTCAGGAGAGATAAAGCAGTCGTCAGAGGTTTGCTTTTTCCTTTTTTCTTCTTTCTAGTTTATTTAAATTACATTTAATGTAGTCTAACATCAGGACTTGAAAAGGGTTCCCGAAGATTTTGGAGGTCTGTGGACCGCAGATCATGGAGAAAGTAGCGCTGTTGAAACAGATGCCACATGATTGGTTGCAAGAGCAGACCAAGGTTGTTTGTTCACCAGAGCTGCTCCCATATGCTGGCCTATTATCTTCATTTACCACCTTGCAGAATCACGTAATCCTTTGTGATATGGGTACCTATTTAACTGGATTTTCTTTCCTCTTCAAAATGAATTTGTTTTGTACTTTGTTTATAATACTCAATTACTCATTTCAACGCATGTAATTTTGAAGTTGGACAGAGGATTTTGAAACTAAGTGAAGAATCTGGAGTATGTTCGACCTTTCAGTTTTCAAATTTTGGAATCCTTGGACTGCCATATTGGTTGCCATCCTCATTGGAGAAAGTATATACTAAGTATGTTACAAACTAGTTTCCTTGGACATCCAATATTCTTTTATCTTTTGTTTCATGAATTGTTTTCTTACGAAGTCTATGTTTTTCTTCATAAAGTGGAGGTGGAGTTGAGGGAGTGATTGATCATCTTGAATCTTTCAGTTCGTTATTACCAGGTATTTTTCTTAATCTTAAGTATGCTTCTTGTACTCTTAGTTGACATTGTATTTCACTATTTCGTGTGACATGTGAGTTGGTTCTGCCTAGGGATATTGATGATCATTAGCTCATCTCTTGCTAATCTCTCTCTCTCTCTCTCTCATCAACTATATCACATCTAAAGCTTCCAATCTCCACTGATGGCAGCTTCTTCCTTTCAAATTGTAAAATTGAACTCTTATAAAGTAATTGTTCTGTAGTCCGGAAAGAAAAATGAACAAAAACCTCAAATTTATTAGAGGCAAGTTCTCCACGATTGCGGCGACAATGGCCAACATCAGAGGAAAGGGAAGGGGAGGTCTGAGATTCAGATCGAGCAGCGGTGGGGGTGGGTTGTGTAGGACGAATGTGTGGGAACCGGAGCAGTTGAGGTGGTGGACCGATGGTGGTGGATAGGATCGCGGAGCAGCTAGTGGGGGAGGTTGGGTCGCAGAGGGTGGTGGGGTGGAGTGGTGGTTATTGTTGACTTTTTATTTTTATTTGTAAGGTTTATTAGTTTTTTTTTTTCTTTCTATTTGCTGGAGGCTGGAGCTGTTTTTTTTCTTTTTCCTTTCCCAGTTGAGTGTTATTTTTTTTTCAATATTCTCATGTACAGTATGCTGTTGCTGTCAACTATGCAAACATAATATGTTATGTGATTCTTCGATCCGAGAATTCCACTGTCTATGTAACAGGAAGAATTGGGATACAGTTAAATGTGGAGGTCCCTGAGGATACTGAGCTTGTGGAACAGTTACAAGAAGGCTGCATATGGCGCCAGGCAAGAGGAGCTGCTACTGAAGTGTCAAGGGTAGAGGATGTAGGAGGATCTTCCGAGAAGGTTCCTATCTGGAAGAACTTAATTCCTTGTATAGTATTATATTCCATCTTTTAGTAGCTTAGGATTTCATCTCTTTCGAGTTTTCAGGTTGGTGTTGCTCAACAATGGTACGATGAACTGGACAATCTTGCCTTGTCGATATCAGAACCTGATCCAGAGTCAACTGTCGAAGATGAGAGTACGACTAGGGAAATAGGATTTCAGGACGGGAGAGTACACATCAATTGTGTTGTCAATACTAGTCCTGGAACGAGCGAGGTGTGCGCATTTAGTTTTCTTCCTATTTGTTTTACGGGCAGTTTTGGTGCCAGTTAAATCTTCACTCTTGTTATCATGCAGGTTATTGTTTACGCTGTTTTGTATTTAAAACTTAAAAGAAAGCAAGAAGTAGCAGAGAATAATCAGGAGAAATATGCAGCAAGAATAGCAGATATTTTAAACTCGGAGAAGAGTGGAAAGCTGGGAAGAGATTCATGCATTCAGCTCTTGTTAAAATCAAACAGAGATTTAAGAGATGTCATCTTTATGAAACCTCTACATTTCAGGATAAAATTGGATTGCCTTGATCACCCGAAGGCTACTAACTCGAAAGAAATTATCCTAACGGACACCAACGTCGAGGTCAATGTATCGCTTAACTTGTAAGATTCAGAGTCGCTGTCTGCATTACTTCTTGTACTCTTAGAATTTGATTGTGTTGTAGTGCTCGTATCCATCATTGTGGTTTATGATTATTTATAGTTTTATTTCCAGTTCCATATAAAAGAGTAAGAACTGCAAGCTCATGTTTCAAAAGTTCCAGTCTCAAACTCGACGTTACAGGCTTAGGCGAAAAATGAAGAAAAGTTCCACGTTATTGATAGCGAACAACGTCAGACCTCTCTGTTAATGGGCGATGCAAAAAAAAAATATTAAAAAGGAAAAAAGAAGCATAAATTTTGTTAAGCAATTTTCTATCTTTAAGGAGCTACCACAAATAGCAGACATTGACTTAGCCATGTAGCATAGAGCAATGCCCCTATGCATTCAGGTTCGAATTTCTTTCCTACAATTTATTGATCATTACCTTCCATGTTATTGCCTTCCTCGTTAGCGTAACCATCATTGCCTTGATTAGCTTCATCATCATTGTATTGCTGCCACCGCCACCACCATTGCCATTGTTGTTTCCCCTTCTTTTTTACAAAAAAATAAATATTTCATTTGATGAATAACCAAGACTTCATTGTTTATTGTTGATTCTAGCAACTGTAAGTTGTGAACCCATTGTGGCAAAATAATATAATCATCATGAACTCGAAAGGTAGTTGCCCTACCCTCTTCTTTATTGCCATAGACCAACTTCAATTGCACTGCATGGTTAATATTTCCCAAGTTTACGCGCGAGCTGCTGTCAGCGATTCCATTGCTACGACTACTACTCGCCTTAAAGAAGGCGTATAGCATACCAGAAGAAAACAAAATATCAACAGATTCTTTTCATGTTCTAAATCCTGGACGACGCTTCATGTCGCGTCTTCAGGTCTACACAAACCCAATACCCTACTGTGAACATTAGAACCCAGAAACATTGCTGCGACCGTACAAGATTCGGAATTAATATCTGAGGTAGATAACACAACTTTGGCACAGAAAACCCTGACACCAAGATTATTAAACTCTTCGACGCACCTTCGGAAATATGGAACTGTTTTCAACGACGGAAGTTGGTGCATCACTTTTGAAATAGGGTTTAGTAGAAACGTCTGGGAGTCTAGTCCATCTTCCTTGACCATAAGGTCCATAACCAACCAACCTTTAGAGGACGTGCAAAACCTCGCTCCTCGAACTGGCTTGGGCAGCTTCAACTTGTGAACTTTGTCGTCAGAGAGGTTGGCAAATTGGTGGCCATGGATTTAACAGTGCTGCTTCGCAAAGTTTCGGTCAAAAACATTTGTGGTCGAATTCTCTCTCAAAGAAATGGAGTACTAATGTTCTTACCAACCGAGTTATAAGATCCCTTACCAAATCTATGAGGGGTCTAATTATCATGGAAATGGGTGTGTCCCCCTATCTATCTACTAAGGAGAAACCTGTCATCGTTATCGAATTCGTTTACTTTCTTTATCATTATTTAATTTGCCTTCACGTATATGTCACTAGCAAGCTATTTACAGTTTTACACTGATAAAAGGGACAAAATCAACTTATTGTTCTTGAATTGCAATAATTAGTAAATAACAATGGCTAAATTGCGACAATTCAAGCAAGACCGAAGTGGAAAGATCCCCTAATCAAGATTTGGCCTATATCTATTTTTATCTGTTATATTTAACTGCAGCTTAGAAAGATCCCATATGCTACAACCACCACAAAAAATAATTAAGCTCTCCTTTTTTGGAATTAATAAATTAATTAAGCAGATTTGGTTCCCACGTTTTGCTCTTTAATTAAGACACATTAACAACCTCATTCTTCTTCTCTACCATGCTCTGCGGAAGCACCAAAAGATATGTAATTAACCTATGTTTGGTTTCTTCCTGACCTACACTTTCCCCATTTTTCCGGGAAATCGCAACGACGGTTTTTCTTTTGCGTGCCTGGAAGTTTGTTGGTTCTTTCAGTTTCATAATGGTTTCAGTTTTCAGGTAGTTGTTCGAGAGATTCAAACATGGTTGTACTGAAAAAATCTTGTTTTTCTGTTTTATGTTTATAACCCCCTCTTGTCTTCCCATGCATTCCAATTCAATTCATGGCACATTTCTTTTGAGCCTTATCTGCATTCCACATTCTCTCCAAATCTATGAAACTTCTGTTTGCTTTCGGGAGATTTTCGTGATCAAATTTTTACCTGCAGTCATCTGCAGTTGATCTCAACATGGCAGGGATCATAAACTGAGATATATTTCATTTGCAAGGAATTTTTTAGATACGTTTTATATAGATCCCTAGCGATTATATTGCGCGTGAGATGAGTTGCTTTTCTTGCTTTTCATCCCATGAAAAGAAAGCATCTAACAAAAGATCAAATAGTGGGAGGAAAGAACAATTGCCTACCAATCTTTCTCAAGAACACAATGTTCCACCAGCACAACAGCCTCGGCCTCCTCCAGATGGTAAGTCGCATTTGTTTTTCCCTTTTTTATTTTTTTTTATTTTTATTTTTTTGCCTTTCTAAAGAGTAAAAATTGTGGTAATGTGTAATTGTTTCGTGTGCCGAAATGATTGCCAATTCAGCCTTCCCAGCATGGTTGAAAATTGTTCTTCCGATTTTTTTGCCCTTTCGTAGGGCAAATTATTAGCTTTCTAATAATTGGTTATGTATAAGCAGAAGTTCCTAAACCAAAACCTACACCACCAGCTGAGGATCCAGCATCAAACACCAGTAGTGCCAATAAAGAACCCGTAAACCACAACAACATTGCTGCGCAAACTTTCACATTCCGGGAATTGGCGACAGCAACGAAGAACTTCAGGCAAGAATGTCTCATTGGAGAGGGCGGATTTGGAAGAGTTTACAAGGGAAAACTTGATAAAACAGCACAGGTTGTGGCTGTGAAGCAACTTGACAGGAATGGCTTGCAAGGAAACCGAGAGTTTCTTGTCGAGGTGTTGATGTTGAGCCTCTTACACCACGAACATTTAGTAAATCTTATCGGATATTGCGCGGACGGTGATCAGAGACTTCTTGTGTACGAGTACATGCCCTTGGGATCTGTGGAAGACCATTTACTAGGTACTATTTTGAAGTGTTTTTGAATTGATTTTCCCCCCATCTTTCATGCTTCTTCCATTTGTATCCGCAAAGGGCTTAAACCCGGCTTCTCATGTTTTGTATCTTGATATTTAGATCTTCCAGAAGACCAGAAGCCACTAGATTGGTTCAAAAGAATGAGAATAGCTCTGGGAGCTGCCAAGGGTCTAGAATACTTGCATGACAAGGCAAATCCGCCTGTTATCTACCGCGATTTAAAATCTTCCAACATTTTACTTGACGCTGATTTCAATGCAAAACTCTCCGATTTTGGGCTAGCTAAGCTTGGACCTATTGGAGACAAGACTCACGTATCTTCAAGAGTAATGGGAACATATGGTTATTGTGCCCCAGAGTACCAAAGAACAGGACAGCTCACTGTCAAGTCCGATGTCTACAGTTTCGGAGTTGTTTTGTTGGAATTGATCACTGGAAGGAGAGCCATTGACACCACACTAACAACCAGGGAGCAAAATCTAGTTGCTTGGGTAAATATCCCTACACATTTTCTTCTTATTCTTATTTAAGGCATGTGCTTTGTGTTGAAGAATCATCAGAAACTTAACAAAATAATACATAAATGGTTTCACTAGTATAGCACCGAGGCTCACACCTGCTAGACTATGCAGGTGGTTAAGTTAGGAACAATATTGTGTTCGACTAATTAGTAGTGGACTGCTTGTCCGTCTCTATGAAATCTTTTAACTTTTTCTTATAATTTTTTTTGTATTTAACAGGCACAACCTGTATTCAAGGATCCTAATAGGTATCCAGAACTAGCTGATCCACTTCTTCAAGGTAACTTGCCGATGAGAGCACTAAATCAAGCTGTGGCAATTGCAGCAATGTGCCTCCATGAGGAAGCGCCCGTTCGTCCCTTGATGAGCGATGTGGTCAGTGCTCTTAGTTTCCTCGGTACAGGTCCGGACACTGCTACCTCACCTATAAGCAGCCTTCCCTCTCCATCACCGGATCAAACAATGTCGGTCATAAACAAGGATCCTCAGCTCGAAGACAGTGTTGCTGAACGCCAACGCGCTGTGGCAGAAGCCATGGAATGGGGTTCGAGTTCAAGGCACAATGGAGTAGAAGCATTACGGTGTGGAAGTACCTCTTCATTGTAAAACTACAAGTTGCATACTACAATGTTGTTTCCATAGAGCATTTAATCTCTGTTGTAAAACATGTCTTTATGATTCTTTGCTCATGAATTACACAAATTTGTTCGAGCAATGTCAGATTTTAACAATGTATCAAGTTGTAAAAGGCTACAAAATCGAACAGATCGAATGTGAAGGAAATTATATCAAAGGAGAAATTTTTTTTCTCAACTTATGATTTTCGTCTGTTATGGCTTCCAGGATCTATCAAAGATTTATGATCAGTTGCTTAGCTAATTAAAAGAGAGAAACCATATATGTCACCGTAGATTTATTGTAGCACATTTACTTGAGTTCAGTTGCATAGATGGATTCTAAGTCCCCCGAGAGACAGGCTTGCACAATACAGTTCAACAATTAAATGTGGTACATGTAGCATTATTCTGCGACTTGACACAAGTCAACACTTCAACAGTGACATTAACCTTCTTGTTAAGAAGAATTAACCAACTAATTATGATGAAAACAAATTCCTTTATAGTTATAGCTTATGACCTGTAGTTTTATGGTTTCAAACACATAAATTAGTTGATAAAGTTACAAAAAAAAAACAGTTTTAGATACTTCTTTTACTACTTTCCTTCATGTCTTCTTCCTCTTTCTCTTTAATTGAAATACAAGACAAATCATATTAGCCAAAACAAATAACATAAAACGATACCTGTGTAATGTGTAATAAGGTTTTGATTTAAAGTAGACAGGAAATTGCTTGGCTGCACACACATGAATGTAGAACTTTCCTCCTCCAAGGGAAGGATCCAAAGTATTATCCAACTAGAAATAGTGGAACAATAAACAGATGATTTCAGGAGCACTAAACTGTGTTATATATAAAACTTATTGTTTGTTTGGTGTTGGTCATGTTTTTTTTATACAATGATACATTTTTATTGGGATTTGAGTTAAGCCAGAATGTAGATCAGCCATAATAATTTAATATTGAACTCGTCATCCACTTAAGCCGCAAAATGAATATGCCATAATAATTTGGTTTGCATTTGTCATTTACTGGAGTCAAATATGAGTCTTACACCTTACAAGTGAAGATCATAAATACCACAAAATCATAAAACTAAGTGGCCAACATACATAGTTTCATTTTTGTTTAAAAGCTTGTAACTGACGTGAAACTAATGTTCAAGAGAAAGTAGAGTGAGGATGTGGGAAAGAGAAGAGAATTCCTCATGTAATACAAGTCATACAAGGAAAGGACCTTCCAGATCTTATAGGATTCCTCCTTTAAGTTTACACAATCATACAAGTTGTAAAACACTATTCATTACACTCCTCATTGAGTGTCTACAATTTAAGAAGTAGTCGCATTAAATCTTCATGATTAGAAGATGGCGGTTGTTGTCATTTGTTCTTGTTTGGCACAGGCAATGCATACGAGAGTCTCTAGTAAGATAAAGTCTCACCAAAACTTGGTTACGGTAAATCCAGTGGAACAAACCTACAGTCTAAGTAAAAAAAAAAAAGGTAAGTTAATGCAATGTCGATACTTGTCATCTTTAAGATGTATCAAGTAATGGAAATTGCACACAAGGGTATGACTAGCTCGATATGGGTGCCTCATCAAAACCTTGTCAGATTTGTAAGAGCCCAATAGGGAAAAATGCTCCCTATCTAAAAGAAAAAATGACATTAAGGCCAAGTAAGTAAAATCCATGATACTCCTCTTGAGTTCGATAAAACTGCCCCTGAGAACTACAAGCGTTGCAAATGAGATAGGTCACGCAATCCAATACCTTGGTAAACTTCTGGAAGGTAGACATCGGAAGGGAAAACCTACAATCCGAGCGATTGATCACGCTTCTAGTCGAAGACAGATGATTGACTAGATGTTGGAATACCATGTTGTCCACACATGGATGGCATGCCCTATTAGAGACGACAAACTGTCCTTCAGGGACGACACATCTATTAAGAGATGTTAACTTGACGTCCGTTAAGTATGTCTATCCTTGCAAACTTGTTTGTAGATGGTATACATGATCTCATCACTTTAGTTAGAGCAGAGAAATGTGTCTGTAGCAACATTCTAAAACCTAGAATACATTGCACGTGCTTATCACTATGTGCAATACGGATATTGAGATGAGTATAGTGGGTAATGTCCACGCTAAATCGCATTGTTTACAAGAACGTTGACATTCTTATGTCTAAACAATGGGAAAACTATCTCATTGAAGTGACAATCCAAAATAAACGGTAAAGAAATTGCTTGCATGAACCTAAATAGCTAATTACAGGAGAATCGTAATAAAAAAAATATATTCACATCCTTCTTTGAGGACCTATAATGATACGCTATGCGGAAGTAGCCTGTCACATAAACTGCACACCCAAATGCATAAGTACGAAATAGTTAGGTCACATCTATTAACCAACTGTAATGCTAATTAAGGTTGGGTGATGATGGGTCTTAGGCGGGCCAACGTAGCTGCATTGTGTAGCCCTAGGCAAACCCAAAAGCGTGGTGCATTCACCAAGGTCAAGGCGATCAATTGATTAAGCGTTTTATGATTGTTTATGCGAGATCGTTTTCCGATGAACATGGGGAATAATTAAATCCAAAAAACATGCAATACTTATTTTAAAAAATAAAAAAAAAACCTTCGATGTAAACTCTCTAGCGTTATCCAGTCTTTCAGACTTCATGGGATTATTAGGGTGGTAAGCCTTTAAGTTAAAATCGTCACAAGGTTAGCAACATGTGTGTGTGGACAAACATATGACCATAGTGTCATTACATCACCTAAAAACCATAAGGTATCTAAATGGTCCACATTTTGGTTGTATTGGTCCACAACTATTCCCTTGGATTCACTGTAAAAGAGGGTTCATAATGGTCTTTGCTAAGGATGTTATAGAAATACTTTCCCAATTACCAGACTTGGCAAAATGCTCTTGTAAGCACAAGATCCTTACTTCAGGTAAAGAGATACTTTGTGTAACACATGGCATCAATTTTCATCCCACTCATTCCAAATGGTCATGCCAAAATAAGAAAGTGATCAAATCATAATAAGAGTAACCAATTTACTTGCCTTACAAGTAATACAAATCATACAAGAAAAAAATCTTCCAAATCCTTTAAGATTCCTCCTTTTAAGTTTATACAATCGTACTAATTATACAACACTGCTTACAACGGTAACCAATTTATTTGTGCATTCTTCACCATACTGTGGACTGTGGAGCACCATATATTTTCTTTGTCTTCCACGAGCAAACGAAAAAGAAAAATTATTATTTATTTATTTTTCCGTCGAAACTGGTTGGCTTGGCTAAAAGATCATAAAAATTTCCGAAGCTGGGCCTAACTGGGCTGACAAGTACCCGCCAACTTCTATCCAACTGTATTACAAAGTTTACAGCAAATTCGATGACCTCTCTCTCCGTCACAACGGCGAACCTCTGAATCCGATCTGAATCTCATCCCAGGTACATTCCGCATCCCCTTCAATACGCTCGATTTTTTTTTTCTCAATATTTTAATATTTTTTTATTTTTTGGTATGCAAATTCATCTTCTTGTTTCTTCTGGCTTCAAATCCACATTAAACTTGAATTTTATTAAATGTTCATGTATTAGGATTTGGGTTTGAAATTAATTCAATTGATATCGTAATTGTATCGAAAAGATTGTGTGTTGGTGCAGTTTAGTAGTATGGGTTAATTCCACATTAATTTTTTTGCCTTAATATTGGTGGGTTTTTTTATCTTCTTTTTGGTTGTTTCAGGTGAGATTTCGGGTTGTTAGTGGCATGGGAAATTGTTATAATTCTCCGAAAGCACATAAAGTTTTACGTTTTCGGGCTTCGGAAATCGAAAAGCTGATTTTTTTTTTAGCAAGATTTGGGAGCTGATTTGATTTGGGATTGAGTGGAAAGACATGAAAAGTGAAGTTGGGAAGTGGGTATTAGGTTTGGTATACATATTTGCTGTTGCATCTATCTGGATAGCTGCCAGTTTCGTAGTACAGTCGGTTGTAGATGCCGGTGTGTCCCCGTTCCTCATCACGTACGTATGCAATTCTCTGTTTGTGATCTACATTCCCTTGGTTGAAATCGGGCGGTATTTGGAGGATAATTTTGAGGGGTTTTGGATTTGGAGAAGTAGGAAGAGTAGCCCCCCTTTGCAAAGATTAGGAGATTTGGAGCAAATCACTCTCCTTGAGGAGACTGACGGTGTTGTGAAAGCAGATGCGGAAGAAGGGGAAGTTAATCTTGGTGCAGAACCGAAAGTTGTATTGTACGAGCTTGTTGGAACTTCAGCAACTCAAGACAATGGCACTGAAACGGTAGATAAGCAAGTGGATGAAAAAGGGCGTTGGACACGAACTCGAGTGGCTAAAGTTAGCCTACTGATTTCCCCGTTTTGGTTTTTCGCACAGCTGACTTTCAATTTGTCATTGAAGTATACTACCGTTACGGTAAGCATTCTTAGCGTTGCATGGCACACCCTGCTTCTTAAATTTGTCCATTTGTTTCATGATATCGGTATGATTGATTTTCTGTGCTTGTTGCATGCAGTCGAATACAATCTTAAGCAGTTCATCCAGCCTTTTCACCTTTTTGGTCGCCCTAGTATTCTTAGGGGAGCAGTTTACTTTGGTTAAGCTTATTAGCGTTCTTCTTTGCATGGGAGGAACGGTAATTGTCAGCCTTGGTGACTCACGAACTGCTCTAAGTGCAATTGCTTCAAACCCTCTCCTCGGAGACATACTTGCTCTTGTCTCCGCTGCCTTCTATTCCGTGTATATTACCCTCATTCGCAAGAAATTACCTGATGAGGATGATGAAAAAAGCGGCCGTGCCAGTATGGCTCAGTTTCTAGGATTTCTAGGGCTTTCCAACCTTCTTATATTTCTTCCGGTTGCCCTTATACTTCATTTCTCCAAGCTGGAGCCGTTTTATATGCTTACCTGGGAGCAGGTCGGTCTCATCATTGGTAAAGGTGTGTTCTTAACTTATACTTTACGTTCTTTTAACTTGGAGTTACCCGTACAGGAGTTTGCTTTGCTTTTTTCTATCTGTCTATGCATGCATTCTTACGATTGGAACGCTAAAGACTCCGATCCTAGAATTCTGGATTCGGCAGGATTTCATTTCGTCAAATTTTTAGGCAAGATGCGAACTAGTTGACGTGAGGCGCAGTGATACGTACAGATGATGTCGAGTTTTATGCAGTACAGTATTTCTCCTGTACTGAATCATGTAGATCTTTGTGTTGTGCTTAGGTTTGTTGGATAATGTTCTGAGCGACTACTTATGGGCCAAGGCCGTTCTTCTAACCACCACGACGGTAGCAACGGCCGGTCTGACCATCCAGGTTCCGTTGGCGGCAATTGTTGACTCAATGACTGGCCATGCTCCTCATTTTGCTGATTACCTTGGAGCCGTGGCGGTGATGATCGGATTCGCTGGCATAAACATTCCCGCTGATGCTTTTAACAGACCAAGAGAAGCTATACTCGCGAGAGAGAATGAAAATATCAGTGCAACCGGTGAAGCTCGCAATTCATCAGGCAGCCCGATTTCAGCTGCCCCTTCATAGCATGCTGAGGTCACTTTGCATTTTGCAAGTGCAAATATGCGCGTTGTATTGTACCGTTATTAGAATTAATTTTTTTGTAAATGCAACTACTACAGTTTTTTTTTTTTTTTTCAATTATCAATTACTGATATAGAAACAACTATTTACCGAGCCATATTACTACTCTAAATTACGCAGGCAGACGGAAATCAAGGTTATAGACTGTTGGTTCAAGTGATCAACCAAATCTAAATGCACATATCACTCAGTATTATAGTCTGGCGGTATTCCTCTTCACTTGGAAATAAGAGATTATAGGTTCAAATCTCGTGGATGACAAATTCGAATCCACATTAGGCTATCTGTTGTATGATTTAACCGAACTCTCCCTTCCATTAGTGTAAAAATATCAATGTACTAAAAAAAAAAAAAAAAAAATCTAAATGCACATAACGGTGAACTAAAACCATTCAATTCCAAATCACTCAAATCCAAATGAGGCCTCTTTGAGGACAAGTATTCGGCTCTACAAGTAGTCCTTAAATATTTTAGACTACGAAGCCACGGATGAAACGCTACAAGATCATTAATTATTCAACAGAAAATACAAACACCCTATGATCATCGTCTACGGATTCAGCTTCATACAGGTAACATGATCACTTGATTTTATAATGTTCGGAAGCAAATCGAATTGCAGCTTCCAAAAATAATTGCCAAACTCCAACACAACTCTGAAACAACGCAAACCCTTAACCCTGTGACATCGTGGTACCTGCATGACCATATCTCTGCATCACTCTTCTTGTTGCAAGCGCTGCAGCCTCGCTTGCCCGCAGTGTTCCACTTGCCATGATTGCAGCAAACTCAGCAGAGATCTCCTCTTGCACCTTACTTCGAGCATCCCCGAGAGGATCTACAACTCCGTTGGGAGGTTTAACCACACTTCCTGATGCTCCCTGCTCCTCTGACTTGGTGCGCTGCTGCGCTCCAGATTTCAATTTGTCACCAATCTCTTTTTTGGAAGTGCTCAAGGGTTTCGCAGTGCTAGTGGTCGTTCGCACCATGGAAGCAGGCCTGAACTGCGGAGCTTGAGGAGCTGCACCACTTCTCAATGTTGCTTCCAGATTCTGTATCATGGGCACTGCAAAACAACGGCAGAGAAAACCCCGCATTAGAATATTTAACCACATGGTTCTCCCATTAACCACAATCCTTATTTCAATTTAAAGTCACTGTCGGAAATTAAATGGCTTTAATCTAAATTTCCAAGTACAAATACGCAAACATGGAAGACTCTATACTATCACTAATCAAATAGAGCACAGCATTAGCAATGGATAAAATAACTTACTAATAAGAGCTCCCATTGGACTGCCCATAACTTCATTAGGAAGCTGCAAAATATAGTCTGGAATGGCTGCACCCACCAAAAACTGAGCAACCTCATTGCTAAAGTTGTTGCAATTGTGAGTAAGCAAACTATAGGTTTCTGCAGTATACCGGGGACTGATCTCCTGCAAATACATCTCAAATACATCCTTGGGCACATGTGTGACACCCAAATCTACCACTTTAATTGGTGTGCCATACGGTGTTGACCCAGCAGGAGCATGTTGTATGCCTCCCCCAAAATAGTACTCATTACCATAAACCACCAATCCCGTGTGCCTGCGATTGAAAATTCGCATAGAAGATTTAATTACCTTTACACAAGCCTTGCTGAGAAGAAATTGACGTGCTCCTTGTAATTCCAATGAACAAAGAAACTTACCATATGCCCTCGATGGCTTTCCCCAAGAAAGCCATGGACATTTGCCTAGCTAATCCTTGGCTTAAGTCGTATACATTCAAAATAACCTTGTGAACCTCCTGCAACCAAATTAATACATCAATTATTGGAAACCCAGAAAGGAAGTACCCACAATGGAACACTAGACTAAAATACAATAAATATTACAGTACACACCTCTGCCATCTCCGCAGTCCAATATCAAAATGATCCGTAGACAAAAATGCGGGGTGTTGAACTAATTAAGATCGCGTATCCAATCACACTGAAAAATAACCATTAAAGAAAAATGGTAAGATCCAAAACTTAGACAAATAATAGATTGAGTTTCAACAGCTCAAGCAAACCAAGGAATTTCCTAATCCATTCTCGATTGCCAGAATCGAGAACGCCCCAATTCCTAAAGTTATGTATATTGCCAATACAAGTTAGAAAAGTAGTACTTCTGGTTTGCTCCTGTGCTTCAACCACCAAAACCAAAAACCTTACAAAAATACCCGATTTTATACGTTTCTTTGTTCAGCATCATGAACATATATGCCCAATTGCAAAACTAAACCAATAATTGAAGCCACATTGTTAGAATCTACACTAATAACCATCCAAATTATTGAAATTAATTAACAAAAAACCAAAATTAGCCTTATAAAAATAAAAAAACAACTTTTAAATACTCAAATTCAACAATAATATACAGCAATCAACCTAAAACGTTGGATCACACAGATCAAACAAAAACCCCCGAAATTCTACACACAAAAAAACCCAATATTTCGGCCGCACGCTACCTTTAAAGTTCAAATATTCTACAAATTCTCAACAAAATTGAAAATTTTATAAAGCACATTTGGGAAATCAAATTCGACTAAGCTACTGAAAGGCTCATGGATTATGAGTAGGGTTTCAATTGGGCTTTTCTAACGAGAAAGAGAGCGTACCTGAGGGCGAAGAAGCCACGATGAAAAGTTCTCTTTTCTGCGATATGCGCGACCCACAGAGAGGGGACGGATTGGGATCTGTCGGTTTAAATACTTTCCCAACCAATTGAGACGAGAGTTTGGATTCCGTTCACACCCACTTCTACGACCTTCTAGAACTTACTGACCAATCGTGTTCGGACACGTGGATTGCCATTCAAAGTCCACGCGATCTCTGGAACACGTTTTTTTTTTCATCTTCCTATTTTTGACGCGACCTCCCGTTACCTTCCTGCTGGTCTTTTCCTTGCATAAAAAACAAGAATAAAAATTAGGCCATTTATTTTTTTTAAGAACTGATATTAATATTTTAAAATTTTCATTCTATACTTATTATAAATGTATTTTTTTCTTCTAATTATAAAAAGTTTAGAATACAAAATAAGATTTTTAGAGTGTCAATAACAATTCTTTTTCTTTTTCAAGAAATTTAATTGAGGTCTTACTATTTCTTTTTTAGGAAATTTAATTTATAGGTAATAATTTTTATATATTTAGACATAAGTTGATGTTTTAATATGAATTTTCAACTAGTATCAACAAAAACAATTTTTTTTTTAATTTATCTAAATTACATATTAATAAAACTTTATTTGTCAACCAAAAACAACTAATGAAATTACTATTATACCCTTTCTATACATAACTAACAAAAATATTAGAAAAGGAAAAAAATTGGACATTATAGTAATTTCGCACAAACAAGTTTTTGCTTTTTTTTTTTTTTTTTTTTCGAACCTCACAGCTGTGTCATCCTATGAACATCTAAACTTACACCTTCTATCTCTCTCACTTGCACCCACCCACATCCACTGTTTTCCCACTTTTACTAACTTCCTCAATCCACTAACTTTTTAACATAAATTTAATTTAATTCTTCTTAAATTTTAAATCACACAGTGTGTGATTTAAAATTTTACATTCTTCTTAAATTTTTACATTCCAATACCATTCCTTAAATTGTATTAATTGTAGGAAAATGTTAGATCTCACATCACCCAAGGGAGAGGATTCTCTATGCCTTATATGTACATGCTCTCCTCCCTATAACACAAGGCCTTTTGGGAGCTCACTGACTTCGGGTTCCATCGGAACTCTGAAGTTAAGTGAGTTTGCGCGAAAGCAATCCTAGGATGGGTGACCCACTGGGAAGTTCTCACGTGATTTCCCAAAAACAAAACCGTGAGGGCATGGTCGGGGCCCAAAGCAGACAATATCGTGCTACGGTGAAGTCGAGCTCTGGATGTGGTGGAGCCCAGGTCGGGATGTGACAATTTGGTATCAGAGCCACTTTTTCATTTGGTACAAGTGTGTCGACGACGACGTCAGGCCCCTAAGGGCTGTGGATTGTTAGATCCCACATCGCCTAGGGGAGAAGATCCTCTATGCCTTATATGTACATGTTCCCCTCTCTATAGCACGAGGCCTTTTGGGAGCTCACTGGCTTCGAGCTTCATCGAAATTCCAAAGTTAAGCGAGTTCTCGCGAGGGCAATCACAGGATGGGTGACCTATTGGGAAGTTCTCACATGAGTTTCCAGAAACAAAACTGTGAGGGCGCGGTCGAGGCCCAAAGCGGACAATATTGTACTACGACGGAGTCGAGCTCGGGATGTGGTGGAGCCCGGGTCGAGATGTGACAAAAATGTATCTCAAACATGGTGAGGCTGATCTTTCTAAAATTAAAGTCTAGAAGGGTGCTTCTTCTTCTTGGATGAGTATTACTTATGGTGTTGAAACTTTACATAAATCCTTGAAATGGAGAATTGGAAATGGTTAAAATACAAATTTCTGGTCTGATATTTGGGTTGGAAACGATACCTTGATTAATTATGTTCTACCTTCAGTTCATGGCTTGGTTCCAAATTTAAAAGTTGCAGACTTCATCGAGAATGGGTCTTGGAATGTTGATAAGTTAAGTCTTATGATTCCTTCCCAAGTTATACAAAACATTCTTTGTATTCCGGCTGCTTTGTCCTGTGGTGGCAATGACTCAATGATCTAAATGGCACCAATAATGGAGAGTTCAGTGTGAAAAGTGCCTATCTTATGAATTTTCCTAACCAGGAATTTGCTGATAGTTACTTGGGCTTTCATTTGGAAAATCAAGTTTCCTCCTAAAGTTAAATGCTTTCTTTGGATTTTGTCTCATGGTAAGCTGCTGACTAATGAGCAACCTTTTAAAAGACACATGTTTAGCAACACTTTTTGTCAGATTTGTAGTTCTGCAGTGGAGAATATGTCACATGTTTTCTCAAGTTGTCATGCTGCTATATGGGTCTGGAGAAATATTATGTTCCACATCATCTTCATTGGAACCAATTTGATTCATTCCTTGGTTGTGTGGAGGCAAATTGAAAATGCAATGATCTGCATGAGCTTGGGTTACCTTGGAATCTTGTTTTTGCTATAGCCTTCTGGTTCATATGGAAGTGGAGGTGTTGTGCTATATTTTGTCCTAAATTTATTAAACCTCCTGATCCAAAGAAATGCATCTTGGAGTATTCTACTGAATGGCTCAAAGCTAATGTTAGCATCTCTAGTAAACATAATCGTGTGCAGGTTCTCTTGGCTTGGGTTCTTCCTCCGTCTAGGACTTTTAAGTTAAATGTGGATGATGCTAGGCTTGATTCTAATGGGGTGATTGGAAGTGGAGGAATAATTAGAGACTCGCACAGTAATTGGATTACTGGCTTTATTGCTAAAAAAAGAGTTGGGGAAGTTCTCCATGCTTAGCTTTGGGCTTTGTTTTATAGGTTGAAGATAGCTAAAGTTAGAAATTTCTCTCATCTTGTTGTGGAGGCTGATTCTACTTTGGTAGTCTCTCTCAGTCATGGTTCACCTAGCCTTATTAATCATCATCTCTATGGTCTTGTCTTAGAGTGTAGAAGTTTGATCATAGAGAATTAGAGTTGTAATGTGCAACACGTTCATAGACAGCGTAATTTTGCAACTGACGGGTTAGCCAAATTGGGTTTAAATAGCGAGATGGAGTTTCAAGAGCTTGCGGAGCCTCCTCCTTGTTTAGTTCAAACTCTTTCAGATGACTGCTCTAGAGATGCTATACCTAGATTAGTTGTTTCTTAGTATTTTCTTTTTCTTCTTCCATGTTACCAAAAAAAAAAATTGTATTGGTTGTCCTAAGGCTTTAATATTTAAGTTAGTTTGCAAAAAAAAAACACACACACACACACCGTACCTTGGCAAACAAAAGGTAGCATCGAAAAAAAAAAAAGAGTGGAATGTTGGTTTAAATAAAGAGTGATGCTGGACTTATCCACTGTTCTATTTTCTCACACATTATCATTTTACTCATCATACAAATTTAAAAATTAAAACGATTTTCTCCCGTCACCATATTTCCAAAATACCCCTAACACATTTCATTTAAAAAACCCTAATATATCTGCAAATAATATGAAAATAAATGAATACAAATTAAAAATTCAAGAAAACGCAAGAGCCATAAAACATACCAACTCAAAAATATCAAAATCCTATCAAATCTTTGACCCAAAAGCTACTATCCATCTATAAAATAAAGGAACCTTTTACAAATATGATCGCATAAAACCCACGCCAAGTATCTCTATTACTTGCATGAAGGTACCTTCTAAACCTCTCTTGGTTTGTCGTTCTCTCTAAGTAGTCATGTTTATATATTTTTTTGTATTGGAGCAACGATGATTATTTGAGGAAGTCATGCACCGCTCTTATGATTTTAATTATGTTGGAATTTTTTAGATCTATGGGTTTGGTGTCCACTTTAACGACACCAATAGTCTTAACTTGGTAATTACCACCTGTCCATTTTATCACAAAAAGGCTTTAATATTAGTTAGAGTGGGGTAATCATATTCAAAGTCATTATTTTTTACTTTCCCCACGGATGTGGGATAGCTAACAAATTAGGAGGGTGTAGTCAAATTAGGATTTCGTAGGATTTTAATAGTTAGGGATAGTCAATCATGATTTTGAAAGAGGATTTTAGAAGACTTTGAAATTATGATGTAGTCAAATTAGGATTTAAGGGGATTTTAAAGAATACGTCCAACTCTAAGGATAGTCGATTAAGATTTTTAAAAAGTCCACACAATTCTAAGGGTAGTGAGAATACCAAAGATTTGCTAGGATTTTAATGGGAGAGGGATTTTGCTGGATTTGGGGGTGGTGGTATAAATACCAAATGCCATCAAGAATCCAACCATTACCTCTCTGATTTCTTTATCTTTCGTCAAATTAGGGTTTGTTTTCTCTAGAGTTCGTGTTGGGATGTATTTTTTCTGAAAGTCTTTTTAGAGGACGAAGGTTACATATATTCACAACCTGGGCATGTTCTTAGCCTCTTGATTTTTCAGTTCACTCTTTCTTCACAGTTTCTACTTTGATTATTGGGTAAATTACACTTTCATACCTTAGGTTTGGGGTCTATTTCAATTCCTTACAACATCTTTAAAACATTGCACTTTCATACCTTAAGTACTGTTTTATTTCAAAATAATACATCTGTTACATTTTTCATCTATTGATCCGTTAAGTGATGACGTGGCTGCCACGTTGCTACCAAATGTATTACATGTGGCAAAAAAAAAAATATTTTTTTATTTTTTTTAAACCTTAATTTTCAAAAAAAAAAAAAAAAAAACAAAAACAAAAATCAAAAGATGCAACACATCCCTGCAACCCACCCAAAACCAAAACCCATTAATCCCCTCCCCCCCCTGAGCGCCGTCGAAACCCCATCCCCTTCATCATCATCCCCATTCGTTGTCCCTCCCTGCAAGTCAAATCCAAAACCACTCCCACCCATCCTCCACATCCTCCTCCACACCCATCCTCCACGCACCCATCTTCCCATCCCCCTAACCCGAGCCCAACCTGCAACCCAGAAGAAGAAGAAAAAAAAAAAAAAAAAAAAACCACCCCTTTCTTCTCCCTCCCGTCTTCCCCAAACCCATTGTGCACCCATCCTCCACCTCCTCCTCCGCACCCACTACCTGCAACCCAGAAAAGAAAAGGAAAAAAAAAAATAAACCCACCTCATTTGCCTACAACCCAGATCCTTCCAATAGGTGTGGATTTAAGGAGTGGAATGTGTAGAAGAGGGTGGGTGCGGAGGGTGGGTTTCTAGGTGAGGTGGGTCATGGAGGAAGGTGGCTTTGAGTGGGTCGTTCGCGCGCCGGGAGGGGGGGGTGGAAGGAATAATGGGCGGGGGTGGGTTGCAGGGATGTGTTGCAGCTTTTGATTTTATTTTATTTGATTTTTTTTTTTTTTTGAAGATTAAGGTTTTAAAAAAAAAAATTTAATTTTTTTTTTGCCACGTGTAATACATTTGACAGCCACGTCAGCACTTAACGGATCAATAGATAGAAAATGTAACGGAGGTATTATTTTGAAATAAAATAGTACTTAAGGTATGAAAGTGAAATGTTTTGAAGATGTTGTAAGGAATTGAAATAGACCCCAAACATGAGGTATGAAAGTGTAATTTACCCTTGATTATTATTTTGGAATATGTTTGTTTTGTTTACCAAGACAATCTTTTTCTTTAATAGGAGTGAAAACTTGAATTTTTTGGGGTGTAGAAAAAATTTGCATTTACCAAAACTGTAACAATTTTTGAGTGGGTTAGATGCATGCAATTGAAAAAATATTGGGTTTTTTGTTTGGATTTGATTCAATTCGTGTATTTGCCATTTATGTTTGTTTTTGTTTGATTAGAAAATGGAAAGACATTGTTTTTGGGGAATTCCCTTTGCTAGTTTGGTGAGTTAGGGTTACGCAAATTTGGCCTGTTTGTTTGATTAGATGCTTCAAAGAAGTACCTGACGAATCAGTTGGGTTTTTTTGCTCCTCTTTTTTGTCTAATGAAGTTCATGTTTGACATGCCCCAACCTAGATATTCTATCTAATGATACATGGATGACACGTGTTAGCCGACATTTGAGAGTGACAAAAGCCATAAATATATAAATACGCAATAATACAAGAGAACCTGTAATTCAAAGGTCATATAACAAATAACGATGATTCTGAATATACAAATGCTAGGAGACAATAATAAGATTCTGAATTAAACATGTGTGTAACGGAAGGTCCAACAATCATAAATCCGAAACAAAAGATGCACAAATATGCCCAAAGCACACAACTACTCGGAAGTACAAGTGAAGGTAAGAAATCAAATTACAATTATAATAAAGAATCATACACAAGTGGAAGGTCGTAAAGTCACTGGTAGGGTAATGCCTCGATGCTCGTGTCATATTCCTCGTCACTATGTCTTGAGGGGGCACAAAAACAAAAGGTGAGTGGACCATAATTTATACTAATACTAATAATAATCAGAACCTAAATTCTTTCTGAACATAATAACCCCCTGTTTTGAAAACATATAATGTACTACATATAGGTTTTTCTAGCATGCAGGAAATGTTCGTAGCCGTAAAATCATCTCTAAAAACAATATCAAAATGCCCGAAGGCAAAACCCAAAAATCTCATAACTCAAATCAATGATAAAATCAACTAGGAGTATCATAGTAGCCTGAAGGTATAACCTGTCCATCACCCGAAGGTAAAGCTGTACGACATTGGGTTATGCCAGTGAAGAAACACTGTAGGCCCCATCACCCGAAGGTGAAGCTGTACAACTTTGGGTTACGCTAGAGAAGAAATATATCTATATATAGCATAACATACTGACATTAGCTGTGGCTAGTGAAGCTGTCCAACACTGGTTTCGCCAATGAAGCTAGGGGTATAACATAAGTATCCTCAATTGTGTTCTATGACCATAAACTACATACCCGTGTTGTGTGTATGTGTCGTATGATAACCCACTAGATAATCAACAAAAACGAAACTTAAAAACTCATGCCAAAACACCAGAGCTCAAAAGCTAAAAACCTCGTCAAATAAATTCATGCTAATTCATATTCGTAAATCCACCGAATTTCATACATATAAAACTAATAGTTCATAACCTTTAGAAAAATGTAAATTCAATAATCATAAATATAGAAATCCATAAAGCATAATATAAGACATGTTCAAATCATGAAATATGAAATGCATGCTAGACCAATAGTTATAAAATATTCAATTTGAGAAAGGGTCCACTCACAAATACTCTGCTCCTGGGGAGCCACTCGAATTAGGGAGGACTGGATTACTTCCAACCGATGCACCTACACACATGTCACATCCCGGCCCGAGGCGCACCACTTCCCGGGCCCACTCCACCACCGTAGCACGATATTGTCCGCTTTGGGCCCCGACCACGCCCTCACGGTTTTGTTTCTGGGAACTCACACGAGAACTTCCCGATGGGTCACCCATCCTGGGAATGCTTTCGCGCGCTACTCGCTTAACTTCGAAGTTCCCAGGGAACCCGAAGCCAGTGAGCTCCCAAAAGGCCTCGTGCTAGGTAGGGATGTGAATATACATTTAAGGATCACTTCCCTGGGCGGTGTGGGATGTCACAATCCACCCCCCTTAGGGGCCCGACGTCCTCGTCGGCACACGCGCGACCAGGGTTAGGCTCTGATACCATACTGTCACATCCCGGCCCGAGGCGCACCACTTCCCGGGCCCACTCCACCACCGTAGCACGATATTGTCCGCTTTGGGCCCCGACCACGCCCTCACGGTTTTGTTTCTGGGAACTCACACGAGAACTTCCCGATGGGTCACCCATCCTGGGAATGCTTTCGCGCGCTACTCGCTTAACTTCGAAGTTCCCAGGGAACCCGAAGCCAGTGAGCTCCCAAAAGGCCTCGTGCTAGGTAGGGATGTGAATATACATTTAAGGATCACTTCCCTGGGCGGTGTGGGATGTCACACACAAATAAAGACTATTTAATAAAACGCTACTAAAATGATAAAATTTAAGAAAACAGACAACGGATTTGGATTCGGCACATTGAAAAACCTAAAGATAGACCTCGGGTTCCCCCACGCATAGGCCACGCACCGTTGCATGCGCTGAGATGGGTCGTCGGAAAAGTCGTCGGCATGGCGGCGAAGCACAATACCTCCAGCACGCATGGCTACGCCCATACACGGTCCACGTGCTAACCGTGGTAATTGGGTTTAGACTCGGGTCGGGTCAGATATGGGCTTGGGTTTGATAGGTTGGACCGGGTTAGGGTTATTAGGTCAAGGCTTTGGCCCAGGTTTAAAGGATTAGGTTTGGGCTAGGGTTAACAAATTGGACTTGGGTTAATGGGTTAATGAATTAGGCCAGATGACAGGTTGGATTTGGGTCTAGTTTAGGTGGCAGCTCAGGTCGACCCGATTGGGCTCACAGGTCATTGGACCCAACGAAGGAGAAAGCCGAATTCTAAGGATTTTGGCCGGGAAATTTCTCTGGCTTCGATTTGGGGTCAAATCTCCACCATCTCCAATGATTTTCAAACCAAAGTGAAGCTAAGGAAGAGGAGAACAAGAATTTACCAATTTGGGGACTGAACACGGTTTGAGCTGGTCGGAAATTGGCTTGCAAGTTGTTGGGTTCACTGGAAAAAAACTGGGGATTCGAAGAACACAAGCATGCATGAATAAATAATCCAAAACTCAACCCCAACTCATCAAGGACGCAAGAAACATTTAAATATTTGAATATTGAACCAGGAAACCTCACCTATTTTCACGATAGAGCTCAAGGTTCTTGGATGTTAATGGCAAAGCACCACAAGGTGCCTCAATGATGCATGCAAAACCCCCAATGGATTCCTCGCTTCCCAGAGAACTCTAATATATGAATTTGAGGTTTGATTAGTTGGGGAAAAAAGAAATGGTGAAAGCTAAAGCTCTCGGTACTAAAGGAAGTGTTTTGCAGAGATGGTGAGGAAAAATTGTGAGAAAGGTGAGATAGAGTGTTTTCGAGAGGTGGGGTAGTCACGGGAGAGGGGAAAACAATGGGCCGGTTTTGGGTTGGTAGGTTGCACAGCCCAGAGGTTTGGGCCGGATATAAAATCCAATACAAGGGTATAATCGTAATTGTACACTTATTTTTAGAACGGGTTGTAACAATGTTGATTTTAATTGCTTTTTGTATAATATTTGTAATGTTGTGGCAATTTTTGACATGAATTTAATGTTGCTTAGATTTTGGGTTGATATGTATGGAAAATGATCCTCGCCGGATCCTTTTCATGGGGATCTGGAGGATTCTGTGATCGTGTCCATTCATTATACATCGTGCAGTTAATTTTCGTTAGGTACTATTTAAATTTTAAATTTCAAATGATTTCTGACCACACGATGTACGATGAATGGACACGATCACGAGATCCCCCGGATCCCCAGGAAAATGATCCGACGAGTATCCTTTTTCAATATGTATAACTTATAATTTGAAATGGTGGAAGAACAAATTGGGAAGAAATGTATTAGCCACTTATAACTTTGATAAAAATTTATGAAAGAAGTCTACACAAATCTTAAGAAATCCATAGAAATCTATAATAGAAATCCATATAAATCTACCAAAATATGTATAGACTTGTAGAATCTATTAAAATCCTTTGAACTCTGTCACTTAAAAAATGTCTATTAAAATTCTCTAAAATCCAAATTAACTACACCCACAGTCTGCTAATAAATTCTTCACACCCAAATTCTTTTGAGTCTCTTTTTCTTAAATTTAAAGATGGGAAGTTGGGATTGTATTGCCATCATCGGAATTGAATGTGATCTTAATATTTGATCATTAGTTTGAGAAGATAGAAGACAAAGAGTGGGCAAAGGAAGGTTGGCCGGCAGTGAAAGAGAATGGGTCTCTGCTGGTGAGGTGGCTTGTTGGAGGGATCTACGTATTATTTTTTTTATTTTTCTATTTCGTAACACATTTGTTGTTGTTTATTTATTTACGTTTGTTTAGGTTTTTAAAGTTATTTTGAAAGAGGTTAAATTGGGCAATGGAAATTGTAATTTAGAGTCTTGTTCATCAAAGTTACATTCAACCACCACTTAGTCACATTGTTGATCAAATTACATGAACTTATATTCTTAATCTTAGATATTAGGGTGAGATCCATATGATCAAACAAAGGATGAACGGAAAGAAAAGATGAATGGATGTGTGGCACAAAGCAAAGGATCAATGGATACTTTTTAGTACAGATCTTTACTAGATCTATAAAAATTGAGCTTAAAGATCAAATGATTTAAACTGTTGAAATTTGATCTAACGGTTACAATTATTATAACTTTTAGAGGAACTCCTTGTTCGTAACCATTAGATCAAATTTCAACCGTCGGATTATTTGAATTTGGGCTCAATTTTTTTAGATCCGAAGATGATTTGTACTCAGATATTTTTAAGGAAAAATTGTTACACGTATTATTCATTAAGCAGTGGGTCCCACAACCGACCAACCCAAAAGGCCGATGTGGAAACGCACTAAACCATCTAACACTTAACCCCGAAGTCCGAACCAAATTCCGAACCTCACATCCCTCAGACAACAAACTTTCACAAACGTTACACCGAGCCTAAGATTCGGCTCCGAACCTAAAAACCTTTCTCTGTTAATATCTTCGTTCGACGATTCCTTCTCCGCTTTTTTCTTTCACTGTTACACTCTGAGAACAAGAGTGCATTATTTTATCGGGAAAATTATAAAATTCCGGGGAATTGTTTCACACCGTTTGAACTCGATTGAGCGTGTAAGGTCTCAGATCACACAGCGTATTTCAATTTGTTTGGAGGCTTTTTTGAAATGGTCTTAGACTGACCTCAGCTGAATTTTTTTTGTGGTTTGGTTTTTCAGTTTTGGTTGATTCAGTTCGCGTTAGGGTTTATGAGGTGGAGATCTCGCGGAATGGCGCTGTAGGATTTGATCGGTTGGTTCACTGGTATGGTTTTTAGCTGAATGGTGCTGTAGAATTGTTAGAATTCTGTGATTTTTTGTTTTTGTTTTTGTTTTTGATTTTGGTTTTGGAGTTTTTGCTCTGTTTGGTTGCTCGGAAAATCCAGGACAATGAAGGGAGAAAATTCATGGAGTTGTGCATTATATGATTTTGTTTTAGATACTTAAAAAAGTTAAATGTAATTCATATAGATGATAATTGAGCTAATGATTGTGAAATACTCATAGTAACGGTGGAATTCCTTTTTTTTTTGCCCATTTAAATTTAAATTTAGTTGAATTTACTTTATGAGGGTATCTGAAGCTATGGGTGATGTATAATTGCAGACAAAGCAGTGATTTTGCTGGTGATTTCTTTGTTTAAACTTACTTAATAAAGGTAAAACATGGCGCAGAGTAATTGGGAAGCCGATAAGATGTAAGTATTTGCATTCATCATTTTTTCTTTCAATCTGCATGTAATTTTTTTCTCTATTGGTATTTACTTTTTGTTGGGTGCTGTTGCTTTCGTTTTACTGCCATATGTTGATCATTGGTTCGATAATTGTTCATTTTGTTGTATGCTTCAGGCTTGATGTTTATATTCATGACTATTTGTTGAAAAGAAAATTGCTTGCTTCTGCAAATGCGTTTATGACAGAAGGGAAGGTTGCTACAGATCCAGTAGGTAATGTTGCCAACTTTTAATTCATTCGCAGTGCACTTACTGATTATGTTTTAGAAGATTCTGCTTAGCATGCATTTGCACAACAATATTTTGTATCATTGTTTATGCCCAAATTGTTCACTGGGATGGCATGATTTGATAGTATGTAAGTTCTTTTTTTTTTTATAAAGATTTTGTTGCGAATAGTGTCAGTATATGTGTTGAGAATTTCTGGAGAAATAAACCTGTTTTAGATTTGAATATGCAGCAATTGATGCACCAGGAGGATTCCTCTTTGAATGGTGGTCTGTCTTTTGGGACATATTCATTGCAAGGACAAATGAGAAGCATTCAGAGGCTGCTGCAGCTTACATTGAGGTTCCTTTATTTTGCGTTATATTTAGATTTTATCATTTTAGAAATATCTTTTCAGGAAAAAATGAAATTTATTGCTTGGGCATTTTTATTTCTTTATGAATATGCCTTCATGAAATGATGGCACAGCAAGTTAAGGCAAGGGAGCAACAACAGCTACAAATGCAGCAGCTGCAGCATTTGCAGCAGCGCAGTGCCCAGTTACAGCGCAGGGATCCTAATCATCCTGCCCTTGGTGGTGCTATAAATGCTATAAATTCTGAGGGAGTCATGGGGCAACCGTCAGCCAGTGTGCTAGCCATGAAATGTATGAAGATCGTATGAAACACCCTCACCCGATGGATTCAGAGGCATCCCCTACACTCATTGATGCCAGTAGGATGGCCCTGCTCAAATCAGCTGCAAATCCACAAGGGTAACTTCTCCTTAGTTTTTGCATGTATTTGAGCTTTTTTTTTGTTCATTTCTTTCCTGGCTAGAATGGGTCATTCATTTGTTTAGTTCTCGTTGATTCAGCCAGTTGGTACAAGGCAATTCTGGAACATGCCTGCTGGTTTTCAGCAAATTCAAGCCCGAACTCCTTTAACCACTGTAACTACTCAGAGTCTCAGACTATTACTTTTACTATTCGTGCATTTCTTTGTTCAAATTTATTAGTTTCTTTGCCTCTTCTTTTCTAGCATACTGAGCAATTAGTATGTCGACTTGTGGAGATTGTAGGACATCAAAACCGAAGTTAGCTTAGGTACACCTCAGAAAAGTTTGCCTATGGATCCTTCATCAATTTATGGACAAGCAATTTTACAGTCAAAATCTGGACTGAGCAGTGCAGGTGACATCACTTGACCTTATCATTGTCAGATACGGCCCTACAGTTAAATATGATCTATATGCTCAGACATTTCACATATGAATGCTTCCTTTCTTCCTTCAGGATTGAATCAAGGTATTACAGGTCTTCCCTTGAAGGGTTGGCCTCTAACTGTAAGTAATATATGGCTTTCTCTCCTTGGTTGTTTTTCTATCTAGTGTGGATTTAACTCTTAGTTGCAAAACTACTCCATAATACAGGGAATCGACCAATTACGACCAAATTTGGGTGTACAAATGCAGAAGCCAAATCTTCAGACCCCAAATCAACTCCTTTTGGCATCTCAACAACAGCAAGTTTTGGCACAAGCTCAGGCACAAAATAACCTTCGTAATTCCACAAATTACGGAGATATGGATCCTCGCAGATTTTCTGGACTGCCTAGGGGTAACTTGAATGCAAAAGATGGTCAATCTACTAGAAATGATGGATCTATGTCCTCTCCAGTTTTATCAAGTTCACCAAAGGTAACCTTTCTCATGTATCTGATGAGGATTAGGATTCATGGTAGGCACACACTTATAGACAGAAAGAGTTGAAAATTTGTTATTACACTGTTTTCATAAATATGCTAATCTTTACCTTTCTAATTTTAGCATGTGGCGTCTTTGTTCTACAGTGATTAAGAACTTAAGTATTCTACATTGTGCATGTTATGCTTGCTCCAATCAAACTTCAGGGGCTTAAAGTAGGGAATTGTATGCTAATCCCTCTTTTTTGTTTTTTTTCTTTCATTTTAAACCCTGAAAGACAAAAAGAGTATACATGACCCATTTGTGAATGTTGGGTTTCTATAGTTTAGGATGCTGGTAAATCTATTGTCGTTAATGCTCCTGCTCCATTTCTGCTAATTTGTCCTTTTGGCTTTTAATGAGTTTCCCTGGTTTGATCAGTCATCATTTCATGTGATTTCTGAGTTTGTCCATAGATATTTTTTGTTTCCATAAACTTACATCCTTTGAAAGGTTTTGATTTTCGTTTTCTGAGGCTTTGTTGGTGTTCAATAGATAAAAATGGCTCAGATGCAGCACCCTTCCTCTCAACAACATGAACAATTGCCACAGCAGCAACTGCAACAGGTTGTGCATAGTTGTGCATACTTAAACTTTGTACTCTTTCTGTATGTCCTTGGTTAGGGATC